TTTTTTTTTTTAATCTGCATGAACAGGAGATAAAAATATGCAAAAAGAAAAGGGTTTCCCAAATAGTGGTTGGAAAAAACTCAGTTTTAAGTGAGGAAGTCAAGAAATGCAATTCTCTATCAAATGGGAATGCATTTAAAAATAATTGTGATAGAGTAAATAATTTCAAAAAAAAGAAGACGAATAAGGGAAAAGAATTAGCGTTTATTACTTTCATATTCTCGGTACAAAAATAGCCCATTTTCCCAGTGAAATCTAATTCAAACGTGAAGGTACCTCATGAATATAGGAAAGCCCACTGCTACTCTTTTTTTTGTCTATATTGGGGAGGCAAGTGGATACGGTAATTCCTCTTGCCGGCCACTAAAAAAAAAGGCGACTTAAGCCTAAACTAAAGCGTTTTTAACCGATTTATTCTGAGAGTTCTAGGACTGCTTCGAAACCGTTCTGCTCATCACATTTGTAACTACATAGCAGGTGCTGAATTTTACTGAAATTTAATGCCCTAGCTGAGCTATTTGCTGGGATTAGATTTAGGAACTAATTTCTTTTTCTTCTAAATTTGCACTTCTTTTCGTATGGTATAAGAGAATGCAAAGAACTCAACAAGCAGCACGTAGCCATAACAATGCGGCAAGCATAACAATAACAAACTCTTCATAAATTGTTAGTCTAAATAAAATATCAAGTAAAAAAGATTAGTTATTCACTCGAGAAACCAATGTACCTGCGTTTTCAAATAGCAAGCTTTCAAAAAAAAAAAAAAAAAAAAAGCTCGGCACACTCCCCTAAACGATTCACTCACGTTAAAAACATACACGACTCGAAAGAAGCTACATGCAAAAAAAGAAAAAACCTTGTGATCCTAACAAACTCAATTTTTAAAAAAAGTAAAAAAAAAGTAGTAATTGATGAAAACAGCTCCAACGTCACATTTTAGCAAACATCTCGATGACGGCCTCAAGATCAAAATAATGCAGCAAAATCTGGGAGGCAGAACTCTGAAGAAACCAATGACGTCAAAAAATCCGCAATTTTCCAAAAATAAGCCAGGCAAACATCGCTCAGTTTGAACTTAAGCAAGCATTTTTATAGGCTGCTAGTCGATTGCATCATTGTGATTCTAATACCGCCGCGAGAGAATTTCCACGCTAAATTGGAAATGACCCCTATATATAAATAGCAGCAATTTGTGATAAATTGTACACCGAGAAAGTTTAAGAAAACTTATTTTTCATTAAAAACTTAAAAATACGTTTTTTTCCCTCTATTCTTTCAAGCCTTTGCTCTTTCTCATCCACCCAACTATTAAATAAAATTAAGGCACGATGTATTCAGGAGAAGGCCATATGGATAATCTAATAAACTGAAAACTGTTAGATTCCATCCAGATTAAGCTAAAACACAAGTTCGGGAAGACTGGCCTAGCAAATAGCAAAATAACACATTTCTCAGTGAATAATTCCAGAAGGTCCATTTTTCCAAGACCTTCTCTCGATTTTTGAATTCAGGCCCACATTCTAGCGATCAATAAAGTTTAAAAAAACCTTAAAATACTGAGTGAAGAAGTGTGCGAAGTGGGGCACCATGACTTGTTTCCGTTTTCGCTTCACCTGGTAACTCAGAATTTCCTTAAATTTCGCTGATTAGTAAACGTTGAAACCGGACTTTAAAGACTAAAGACAACGCTTAAAAAAGCACATTGCAAAAGAATTACGCTTTCCCAAATTTGCACAATTTGATAGATCGCTGATCATCATGCTTTCTTCCCAAACGTACGGATCAGCTTAACCATAATAAAGCTTGATAATTTTAAGCCCATAAAATTCCACATCCCATCTGCTTTTGCAAAGTACTGTCTAATTGGATTCCGTTATATGAGTGGATAAATAAAACAAAGGTTTTGAAGAAGCGTCAAAAAAAGACATCTTTAAATCTAGGAAAATGTTTTTTTTAGATTAGTTTTTGCCCTGTAGCATACCACAATTTGATCTCGCTCTAATACAGTCGAAAGTCATGCGCCTAAAAAAAAGAGGCTACAATGAAGAAAATTAATTTTTGTTATAATAACCGCGTACATTTTACAGTGAGACCAGTAGTAGAACCTGCTTCTTAAAGCCGCGGCAAGCCGTCGTCAATAATCAGTACGCTTCAACTATTTTTTGAAAAACTACATTTTATACAAAAATATTTACAAATTATTATTGTGCAAAGAATTTCCGATTTAAGCACCAGATTAAAATGTTTCAGATAACACTGTAGGCCTCTCAATTCTCAGCAGCATCTCCATGATTCAAATCCCTCCTTCGTTTCCACAAGCAAATATTAACTCATACCACCGTTTTTCCTCCAATCCCCTTGTGGCCTAATCTTTAAAGTATGAATAAACATAATAGGTTCCGAGCTGTTTATAGCAAATGAACGGTAAAAAACAGATAACTCAATTCCCCTAATATCTCAACAGCTGAACATCAGTGCAGCAAAGATTAGTACCGTATCGTTTTAGTACCGCCTACAATACATTCACTTTTCATTTCTTGCCGTTGGTTGACTACGAAAAGGCCCGAAATCTTTACTGCCAAAAGCTCAGAAAACACTCTGCATCAGTGAAACTCAAAAAATTCATACTAATGTTCCATCAACAACAGAAAAGAAACTCTCGGACCAATACTCCTCTTCAACCACTAGAGTTGAGAAAAAATTTTACGAAGCACAGGATGATGAAATAAAGGCGATTCGCTACCGGAGTGCACAATAACAATTTGCATATTTCCGTACAAAATATAACTTTATGAAACAAATTTTTAATAACTAAAACCCACCAGATTCTGATAACGGCTTTCCTCGCTTTCGTCACTGTAAAATACGTGGGGTTATTGTAACATCAGCAAATAATTTTCAATCTCAGATTCCCTCCAGACCCCAAAAAGTCCGTTGCGACGATATTGCCAGATCATGACATTT